CCCCCCCCCCCCCCAACAACGCCATTACCATTGTCGTCCCCTTACAACCATCACCACTCCTACAACCATCACCACCACTACAACCACCACCATCATCAAACCCATTATCTATGCAACAATAACCACCACCATCATTCCCACTATCACCATTCCCATCGCCCTACCACCACCACTGTCGCCACCCCTCACCACCATTGTTGCCCACCATTACCCACCGCCACCCACTACCACAAACCCATCGCCATCTGTTGTCACCCACCATCATCGCCAGCCATTGTCACCCTCCCCCATCACACCACCCGTCATCACTCACCACTATCGTCACCTCCATTCTCACCACACCTACCACCACCGTTATTCATCATCATCTATCATACTGTCGCTCAAAAAGCACTTGTCGTCGCCCATCACCCCCATCGTCACCGCCACCACCGTTGTCGTCGCCCCATCTCCACCCCTGCTAACCATCATCATCGTCGCCCATCACCAACACTGCCAACCATAATCATCGTTGCCCACCACTATCCATATCCACCACCACAACTATCGTCATTTATGACTACCACTGCTATTGTCGTCATTCAAAATCCACCACCACCCATCACTGTTGCGACTCACAATTGCCACAATCACCACGATAGTCACCACCCACCACAATCATCACCATTTTTCTACCACCACCATTACTATCGTTCACTCCCACTACAATAAGTGGTTAATTTTTTATTTTTTTTATATTTGTGATTTAATTTTAAGTTTGAATATAAATATATTTATTATTAACCTTTAAAAGAAATAAAACGAAATTTAATTTTGTGGAAAATGAAAAAAAAATCTCCGGTCCTTTAAACTTCCCTTTTGGCGGTCATAATGAATGAGAGAGAATGAACTCGTCTGAGTCCTTCTGGTACTTTCCGTTTCAACTCTCTCTCTCTCCGTGCAATTTCAATGTCAATTTTCCCCTTGTTCGTAAATACTGGAACTCCGGAATCTTTCATACGCATAGTCGTCTTGTAGACGTCTTAATTAATCTAAATTTCTTCTTACAGTCAAATCAAAACTGATCGAATCGAATCCTTCAAGCACTCGTAAGCTCTGTTCCAACTACTTTTTAGCCTTTTCTCGGAATTTTTTTTCACGTAGTTGTTCATTTGGTAGCTAGAGTAAATGAAAGAAACGAAAATTTGACTCGGTGAGCAGGCCAAATAATATGTCTCTGTTTTCCCGCTGTGAGATTCAAAATTCTCTTGACATTTTTGAAGGAATCGATGTTGTTGTGGAATTTATCCTCTTGCTTTGAATAGTTAACTTGTATTTATTGCTAAAATTGGCTGGCTTTCAAGTTGATGAGCTTGGTGTTGGTTGTACTTTGAATATGGGAATGGCACAAAAGAGTTCTGACATGGAGGAGGGAACTGTGGAGGTCGGCATGGGTGAGTGTTTTTTTTTTCCTTCTTTTATCGTTGAAGCATATCAAAAATGAAAACCTTAACACCGTGATGTTCATTTCTTCTATTTTTATTTCCTGAGATAATCCATATTGATGTTCAAGGAAGCTTTGTTGGTGTTTTTGGGCTCTTGCGACTACAGTTTGTGACTGCATTATGATGTTAGATAAAGTATGTTCAAAATAAGTATGTATCCCTGTGTTCATCAAAAAAAGGGGAAGCAGGGGATTTGTTTCATTAAAGTTTGCTAGACTTCTTGATGATCTACCACCCACATGTTATCAAGGTTCAGACTCGCTGACTTTTAGAACTTGGCCAGGTGGCCTGAGCTAATTGGCGAAAACTGAGACTGATATGTGCGGTTCATTGGCAAAAAGGGAAGAACAGTGTGGAAAACACTCAACACCAGGAAAAATGAAAAGGTAACAAGGAAAATCGATCATAGTGGCAAATAGAAACGAGGATGTGACCTTCAAAGGAAGGAAAATCATGGAAGTTGAAATTACATTGGACAATGGTCAACGGGTGCTAGTAAAAAAAAAACAAGTATAGCAGCAAAGTCCATTTAATATCTGCTAGTTGATTCAGTACTGCTTAATTATAGGAGCTTCAATGGTACGCATATATTGGACAATGGTCAAAGGGTGCTACTAAAAAAGGATAGCAGCAAAGTCCGTTTAATATCTGCTAGTTGATTCAGTACTGCTTAATTATATGAGCTTCAATGATACGCCTTTTATATTGTTCCAGTTAATCTCCTCTTTGACTGTCCTTTCAGCTGCTATATATGAAACAGAGAAATGCAGAGTTTAGTCAGTTAGGTTAATATGATAATCTCTAGAGCATTCTAAATCGATACCTATTTAGTATAATCTTTTAAGATGCCAAACACTGAGGGTTTTATGTTTTGGGGGGCATTGAAGATTCTTAAATGCAAATAGAATTGAATTTCTTGGTATATCTGGTGTGAAGGTGAAGAAAATTTCGATGTTCATTGCCCCCTGCTTGTTGCAAAACTGCTTTTCGCAAAGTGGGTGCTCGGACATCCCTCATTATTTTTCTGGTAGCGCTAAGGATAATTGCAGAATACAGAACAGTCTCTGGTGTGGCAGGGCCACTAGTTATTCTTGACAGAGTTAAGGTATATATAATTTTATCATTTTATTGCATTCCTTTTTCAATTTCCTTCCTAATCTTTTTCTTCAGAGTTTAAAGTATCCAACCATTAATGTTGTATCACTATCTATTAAATGCCCAGGGTCCAAAATACCAGGAGATTGTCAATATTCGCCTGGCAGATGGAACTACATGACGTGGACAGTCCTAGAAGTTGATGGGGAGAAGGCTGTTGTGCAGGTTTGTTACCATTTACTACTGAGTTTGCACTAGCGAGGGTGTGTTTGTCTGTATGTTAGTATGTTTGTCATTTTATATTTTTGGGGGGTTTGAATGCATGAATATGTGGTTTAATTTTTCAAAAACAAATTATTATTGAGAACTGTTAATCTCTTAAAAGCGAACACAAATTTTGTCTCTAACATGTAAATGAAAATGGTTGAATAATCCCTGTGGCCTTCTTTCTGTGCTGTGCATATTTCCTGGGGATTTGTTTATTAAAAAGGGGTTTCGATTTATTTCCCAAGCTTACAGAATATGATCTCATATATAAGGCATTTGCATTAATTTTGGGTTTTGGTTATACTGAATTTTTTTTCCACCTAGCCCGAGTGTTTCTTATCCTAATATTGCAAACTAGTTTCTGCAACTGATAGATGACTTCGTACCTAGTTATATACAGTTAAAAGTGAGTGAGTTTTCTGTAATCTTACTTTTCAATTGCTTTTCCTTTTTTACACAGGTTTTTGAAGGAACATCAGGGATTGACAACAAATTCACAACTGTGCAATTTACGGGAGAGGTTGAGCCTCTTCTTTCTTTATATGTATTGAGGTTATATGTGAACTGCCTGTTTGGTTTATTGGGGGATTGTAGATGATTATGACTGCAGAATATTTGAAATGATTTTGATTTTTGAACTGCCTGTCGATGTTTTGCTCAGTTTGTCATTGGTTATATTTCCTCAGATATGTGTGCATGAAAATACATGTAACGTTAACCCCCCCTTTTTAATCCACACACACATACTCTCCTCCTTAGTTACACTATGTTCTCAATTGAATTGATGTATGTGGAAAGCTTATCCTTTTCTGACATAAGTGTAGCCCTTTGTTCTTGGTCATTACAATAAAAGGGAGAGCCGTTTGTGACAAAACAGAGCCAAAAAACAGAAAGAAGAGAAGTTGCAGAATTTTATTACTCAAGAAGAAAACTGGTATGTAAAACCAGTCAGTACACAACTTAATTTATAGAAAATAGTTCCTAAACTTTCTCAACAAAATAGAGTGTGTTGAGAATATTATGCCAAAGAAACACCAACATGCCTAAAGACCTGGAAGAGAGATACTCTCCTGAAGACTAGTTCAAACAAATAACAAACTTAGACTCAGTAAGCCTAAGACTTATTCAGCAGCTCCTAAGTAGGGAATACCCAGTAAGTTGCACTAATGTTGACACCGTTGGCTCTATTTCTCAAAATACTCGGTCCTTTTATCTATTTATTTTGCAGGTTTTGAAAACTCCGGTCTCATTGGATATGCTTGGGCACATTTTTAATGGTTCTGGAAAACCTATTGACAATGGACCTCCAATTCTACCTGAGGCTTACCTGGATATTTCTGATGAGTCACGTCTGGTTGATTATTATTTTTCATGTCACCATCAAGTATGATTATCTTTTGGCCTTAAATTTTTGTTGTGTATACAGCTCACTCATGCTTGTCTGTTCTAGGGAGCTCCATTAACCCAAGTGAGAGAACCTATCCCGAAGAAATGATACAGACTGGGATTTCTACAATTGATGTTACGAATTCCATAGCCCGTGGACAAAAAATCCCTCTTTTCTCTGCTGCTGGTCTCCCTCATAATGAAATAGCCGCTCAGATCTGTCGTCAGGCTGGTCTTGTGAAAAGATTGGAAAAGTCTGACAATCTTACTGAGGTACAGTGTGCCCATGAATGCCATGATAAAAATTATACTTGATGAGTTCAACAAAGACGGATGATATACTTTCATTTTCTTAGGAAGCTTAGGACACTACACATCTCTTTTGGAATTTTCCTGTTCTCAACAACTTTTATTTAAAATTATGTTGATGGAAAAGCAGTGATTACTAAACTGATTTTTTTGCCCTTTTTTACTTTTCATATTGGGCTTATTTGAATTAATATGGTTAATTTTATCATTTTGAGTTGGCCATATTCCTCACCGCACACTAGTTGAATGTGATTTGGATAGGTAGGTATATTCCGTCAAAGAAAATAGGAACTTTGGATCAAATTTCTGCTGCGTCATTTTTCTGATCAGTTCAAGACAATAGTTTCATGTTCATTTTCCTCCTCTTTCTCCCCTTTTGCTCATGTCCCCTCCCTGGTTTGCTTTAACCATGTGTTTTCTGATTTGAGCCTTGTCTCAGTAGGACAAGGAAGAGGACAACTTTGCCATTGTGTTTGCAGCCATGGGTGTAAACATGGAGACCGCCCAATTTTTCAAGCGTGATTTTGAGGAAAATGAATCAATGGAGAGAGCGACCCTTTTCCTAAACCTGGTATTTTCCCCCAATTTAACATCTGACCTTCTTGAGGAATGTGGATTTTTGTATGATGCTTTACTCATTTATTTTTTTTAAGTAAAGGGTGTTCCTTTTTCGATATTTTTGTTGGATCCAAAGACGACCTCATTAGATAAATATTGTTAGTCATTTCTGCTACTCGCTTTCTGCAGGCCAATGACCCTACCATTGAGCGTATTATTACTCCTCGAATTGCTCTCACTACTGCAGAATACTTGGCTTATGATTGTGGGAAACATGTGATTGACATATGAGTTCCTACGCTGATGCTCTTCGCGAGGAATGGCTCATCTGCTATTAAGTGTTCAGTGTCAAGGACTGACATATCTTTATCATTGATAGCCAAAAAAGCAGACATATTTTCTCTTAAAAAAACATTGACTGCTCTAAGATGTTCAAGGAATCGTTAAAATGACATGATCATAGCATTTTAACCTCAGATATTTTCACTTAGCGGCTTCTACCTGCTCCATGCTCAAAAACCTGATCACTATGACTTAAATTGTTAGTTGTGACTGCAGGTATCTGCTGCCCGCGAGGAAGTGCCTGGGAGGCGGGGGTATCCTGGGTATATGTATACTGATTTAGCAACAATTTACGAGCATGCTGGACGTATTGAAGGAAGAAAAGGGTCTATCACTCAAATTCCTATTTTGACCATGCCCAATGATGGTACTGCTAAGTGCTAACATTATCAATGTACAAATAGGTCTCCTGGCTTGGTACAGCTTCTTTGTGGCAATGGTCAGATATTACTTGATTGTAATGTTGTTCTATATATGAACCAGATATCACACATCCAATTCCAGATCTTATGGGTTATATTACTGAGGGACATATTTACATTGATGGGCAGCTCCATAATCGGCAGGTAAGCCATACTGTGAACTTGCAGGCACATTATGCATTATGAGAGGTAATCAAAACATATATGTGACATTAGTTGGACATCGACACTAGCGAATTTTTTTTTGCAAGAATTTTTTTGGCAAATTTATATATTGTTTTTTGAAATTTGGCGCAATATAAAAGTACTAGTAAAAGTATAAATTGATCCTCATATAAGATATATATATATATATATATATATATATGTCTGATTTTTGTTCGTGTTGAGCAGATATATCCACCTATTAATGTGCTCCCATCACTTTCTCGATTAATGAAGGTAAGGCTCTCCTCTTGCAAAGAATGTTCACTAGTTGCTAGAAATGACATTAAATTCTGGGAGATTATAACCATCAAGCTATCACTCTGTTGGTCGGAATGTTGCGGATTTGTGAATGTAAATTGTTGGTTTTGTCCCTTTCTTTTGAGCTTTAATCTTTTTGGTAAGGCACTAACCAACTGTTATTCGGCTTCACAGTATAATTTTTTTTGCAGAGTGCTATTGGTAAAGGAATGACTCGTCGAGACCACGCTGATGTCTCCAACCAGGTCTAATTGGAAATTTTCAGTGTTTTGAGATCCTTTTATTATTTCATTCTTGGCTTTCTAACCAAGCCCGTCAATTTTTCACAATCAGTTGTACGCAAATTATGCTATTGGAAAGGATGTACAGGCAATGAAAGCTGTGGTTGGAGAAGAAGCACTTTCTTCTGAGGATCTGGTCTCTCTCTCTCTCTCTCTCCCCTTGTCAGGAAAGGTTTGACATGCACTTTTTATGTTCTTGGATGCTTTACATTCCTTCTTGTTTACTTGATCAAAAATTCAGCTTTATCTGGAGTTCCTAGACAAATTTGAGAGGAAATTTGTGGGACAAGGAGCATATGACACCCTTACTATCTTCCAGTCGCTTGATCTGGCATGGACATTGCTCCGTATATTTCCTCGCGAGCTTAATGGATGAGTACTACAATCGTGACACAACAAACTGAGATGGGAATACAAAGCTCATATACTCTTGCCATACGAATAGCCTAATCGTTGCTTTGCCTACATTTTTCGCCCCAGCTGCATGATTCCAGAACCAGAGTTAAAAAGAGTTGTCTCTCTTCCTAGGTGTGACATTGTGGCTCTTTGTTTCATTTTATGGTAATGAAAATCCTCTGATATGAGTGGCCATTCAGCCTTTTTGTAATGTAATTAAGCTTGTTTGTTAGTTGTTTCATTCATATCATTCTGTCAATGGCAAAGCCTGGAATTCAAAGCTTTTGTAGTGAAAATTTATCTAGCACTTGTCACCTTATCGTAGGTGAGAGCCTGATGCACCGGGTAAGATCATGTACTTCAGGTTTGATATATCGTGCTTACTTTTACGAATTAAAAATCTATAATAATGTAACAATTATATATGATTCGGCACATTGTGCCTATTTTGATGGACTAAAAAGTCTACAATTAATCAATCAATCTCATCCTGTCTGAAATAAACCTACCCACTGACTTGTCTCAATGTGGGAAAGAAGTCTTGTAGGTCACTTGAAGTCAACAGGGGTTGGGCTTGCCACTTGCCCTGCAAGATTATTGGAGTTCAACTTAGACCGAGTGGTGTTCAATTAACTTGACTATTTTATATATAAAACAAGTTGAGTTTTACGAGTTCGAATCTTTAGTTCGTGTTTTTAAACAAACTTAAAAAAATTATTTAAACTCAACTCATTTAAAAAAAAAAATTGTAAGTAGGTAAATGAAATTAAAGTTATTGGTTAAAAAATACATAATTTTTAATGTTAGGTCATTAAGTCCTTATTGTGAGAACTTAATTGTGTTAATTTTTAATGATTTTCTTTTGACATATTTAGCCTCCCTTAAATCATTCATATTTCTTTTGACAATTAAGTTGATTTTTGATTTTGTTTTATTGTATTAAAAATTTCTTCATATAATAGAAGAATTATATTATCATAAATTTTGTATCTAATGTTGATTGTGTATATTTTAGCTATTTTAAATTTTAAATTTTTTGTCGTTATCCTTGCTATTAAACATATCTCTCTTGTCATTAATATATATATATATATACATATATATACACACATTTAATATTACGAAGTCACATTATGAAGCTTAATTTTTATTATTTTTACACTGTTTTGCTACACTGTATTGATATACTTTAAATTTGTGTATTTCTTAAACCCTAATTTCTACTACTCGTACACTGTTTTGATATACTATATTGATATACTTTAATTTCATAAAACTTTTAAGTTACATCAATACAGTGTATCGAAACAATGTAGAAGTAATCAAAACTAGGCTTCATATCCCTAAAAAAAATAGAGAGAATTTATTATGAGTGATCTCTTGGGCCTTGTGCATGATCCCACCTAAGAGAAGGATGTCCTGTTTCAGGTATTCCATCAATTCGGAACCTTCTCTCTCTCGTATATATAGGCGTGGAAGACAAACACACCAAATAATGTGGAGATAATTAAATATGAGGTTAATTTCTAATTTTTTTTTAAGAAAATTATTTTCAATAAAAGGTATTCAAGTTTTTTATGTTTAAGTGAATTTTTTTACAAAATATTTTTTTATATATTTTTTTACAATTAAATCTAATTTTGTATACCAATTTTTAAAAAATTCTTTAAAAAATAAATTGAGTCCAAAATGAGCGACTTTAGAAGTGGACATAAGGTGGGCTTTTTAAAATAGGTTACTACGGCCCGAACAGCCCACAGTTTAGTGTTGATGGTGAAGTTTCCATTAGACGGAAAGAAAGCAACATAGTTGATTGGAGTGAGGTGCAAAAAACGGTTCTTGAGAATATTTTAACGCTCTAATAAATATTTAATTAATCTCTTAAATTCTGTTATTAAAAAAATAAAAAATAAAAAGGGACCCCTTAAATTCTTGTATTAGCACTCTCCTTTGTCAAACACGGACAGACAAAAATTGACCGTCCCTGGCTCGTGTAAGTCCTTTTCCTTGTTCAACGCTTGGATTTGGACCTTATAATTATTGTAGTTTGGTGGGAGTTAAATATATTTTTTAAGGTTCAGAATACATAATGGAACCTTAATTTCGGTCTCAAGTAAGGTAGTTTAGTGATAATATCAACCTTACTCCTCACTCAAAAGTTAGAAGGTCGAATCAAGGAGTTTCTATTAAAATTCGGTGGTTAACCGTTATATTAACTTAATTAGATCTGATTTCAAGAGGCGGTTTCAAGAGCCTTATGATCTCGGTGAAGACTTAACGAGATGATTGTTGAACAATCTTCTTTATCTCTCCTCTTTTTTTTTTTTTTTTTTTTTTTTTATTATCAGCAAAAAAAAAAAGAATTTAATGAGAATAATTTAGTGGTACTAAAAGGCAATATTCCATGTCAAATATGCAGAGTGGTTTATCTCTGCGTCCATTCCGAGTACTAAAAAACCAAGAAACAAAAAACGTTAGTCAACTAAGTCAAGTTCATACTGAAATGCCAAAACTGCCCTAAGAATTAGTTCACATTTACAGAGTTGGAAAGGCTTAACTGCTTTTGTCCTCTGGACAGTTAAGGAAAAAAAAACACAGAAAACCCAACCAAATCAAACAAAAACGGTCACCTGAAAATGCGAAAGCTAAAAGACGTTCAGGAAAAATTACACTTATGCCCCTTAAACTATGTCCATCATTCTACACTATTCCCTAAATTATTTATTTTTATATATTATACCTTAAATTATCATTTTGAGTTTCATACTATCCCAATCGATAGCTTTAGTCACTATTTCACAAAAAAAACTAGAATTCTACAATGTTAATGGAGTAATAATTGTCTTTGTCAAAAGACTCTACACAACAAACAAAAAATTTACGAATAATTACCGATGCTTGAAAAAACTATGTAACATCAAATCTTTTTTTTATCAATTTCGATAGAATTTTTTCTAAAAATATTACCCATGAACAATATCAACACGTGCATATTATGCGTATACCTAAAGGCATTACAAAACTTTCAAATTATATTAGCACAACTATGTTGCAAGCAAATCAATAATTTTTTTTTCTATGAACTATTAACCAATATTTAAATGGATGTGATGAGTGATCTTTCTAATTTCAATAGAGAGTGATTTTATTTTTATTTTTGATTTGCAATGAAATTTAGGAAGATATTAACTATGTAATGTGAGATAACAGATAGTTTAGCAGATAATGTGAAATAAAGGGGATAATTTAAGGAGTCAAAGTGTAATCTGCTCAAACAATCTGACCAGCTTCAAACAACCAACCAACCCAACGTGTTTCTCTCTCTCTCTCTCTCTCTCTCCAAAAGCGTGTATTAGCAAAAAGGCCAAAGAACAATACCAGGACAATCCACCATAGCAGCTAAAGCAAAGCATCTTTGAATACTATAACATCAGATGATCAGAACACCCAAAACCTTGATCAATTAACCTCTGAAACAAAACGAAACCCCCCCACCAAACCAGAGCTTTCAATACCCATCTCTCTCTCTCTCACACACACACACAATGGGACAGAGCTGTGGCAGCTGCTTCTCAAGATCCCATGATATCCCAATATCATCCTCTTCAGACCCTTCTCCTCAGCATGAATATCGTCCTCCACGCATAAAATCCAAACAACCCGTAGACGCAATACCAAAACCAGTCCCTTCCAAAACATTCTCATCGTCTTCAGAGATTGGAATTGGACCAATTTTAGGCAAACCCTACTTTGAGCTGTCCACACTCTATGTACTGGGTAAAGAACTTGGGAGGGGTCAGTTTGGGATTACTCGTCTCTGCACAGAAAAGGCCACAGGCCTACAATATGCCTGCAAGTCTATTTCCAGGCGAAAACTTATTAGCACGAAGGATATAGAAGATGTTAGGAGAGAGATTCTGATTCTACAGCATGTGACTGGACAACCCAATATTGTGGAGTTCAAGGGTGCTTATGAGGACATACAAAATCTGCACTTGGTGATGGAGGTTTGCTCTGGTGGTGAGCTTTTCGATCGAATCACGGCTAAAGGGCGTTACTCAGAGAAAGAAGCAGCAAGGATCGGTAGGCAGATTTTGAATGTGGTTCATGCGTGTCATTTTATGGGAGTGATGCATAGGGACTTGAAGCCTGAGAATTTCTTGCTGGTGAGCCGCGACGACGATGCTCCATTGAAGGCCATCGATTTTGGGCTCTCTGTCTTCATAGAGGAAGGTTAGCTTGCAAATCCCCGTCTCTTTGAACTTGATTATGATTTCTAGCATCTCTCTCTCTACACCAGTTCAGTCATACAAAGTCATTCATGGTTAGTGAATTTCTACTAACCCAAAACGAATTTTGTCAAAATTAGCTACGTTTATTTCTCATAATTCTACTCTTTGGGTGATTTTTCTGCTTTCCTAGTTGAGTTTTTTTAGTTCTGCAAATAACGTAATGATGTTTGTGATCAGGTATGATCCTTTGTTGCGAGAAGTTATACATCTTTACTTCCAGATATTTCAGTCATGATAAATTCTCAATCCACTGGAAATTTTAATTCAAAAAGGATTAGAAGTAAGCAAAATCTGGATTGAATTCTAGTGAATGAAATTACTGTTTCTTTACGCGGTTTAGATGATTACTTAATGGGCTTTTTCGCCAATTTTGTGTCTAGGGGAGGACAATGAGGAACTTATACATCACCAATAGGAAATGGGGCTGAAAAATTGGAAATCTCTCATTTATAGGAGTGATTTATAGACTTGGAAAATTTGCTTGCTAAAATTGGAACCTTGGTTGGTGTTAGTAATGAGAGTACTTATGTGGATAGTAATGAGAGTACTTATGTGGATGGCACTATGGGTCAGCAAAACCAAGTAAATAGTGAAAGTGACAAGTCAACCAGGTCAATGATAGTTTCTTTGTTCCCTCTAAATTCAAACGGACAAAACATCAAGCTGAAGGTAGAATTGGTACTCCACAGCATAATGGCTGGGTCCATAGCCCATGACATATACATGTGAACTTGGGACTCTGTCAGAATCCACCAATGAAGGTGCTCCAATCTCATGGCCCGGAGGATGGATGAAGGATAAATGAAAGTGTTGTTATGGTTAGATAAAGATGCTGCTCCAAGTCTGTTTTGAAAAAGAAGAAAATACAAACATGTGAATGAATATTAAATAAACTGAGGTTGAAATTGCAATAGCCCATATATATTAACCTTGGACAAATATGATAAGAGCAATCCCATATGGAGCAATGTTACATGAACTTAAAATATAGACTTGATCAATTACTGTCATTGATTTTTTTGTGGGTCCCAGTATTTATTATGACTTACTACCTATTCAATGGTTGTGATCGATTAAATCTATATTTTAAATTTATATTTTAAGTCCAAATAACATTTCTCATATGACTGTTATATTCATCTTTAAACTACTTATTGCTGGGCCTTAGTGATCTTTCCATGTGTGGTTTATATTTTTTGACATGCACACAACTCAACTCAACCTTAATCCCAAATATTTGGGTTGACTATTTGAATCCTGGCTCTCCATTACAATCTATCAACATTTTTTTTTGACTATTTTGTTTAGAGATATTTTAGGCCTACCTCGGCCTCTCACGTTATCATCAATATGTATCAAATTGCTTGTCCTTATTTGTGTATTACTAGGCTTTTTATAAATATGTTCAAACCATTTAAGTCGATTCTCTTTTTATTTTTCTTTTATTAGTACTACTTCTATTTTTTTACAAATGTACTCATTTTTTAATATTATTCTTTCTTGTTTTACCGCACCTGCATCTTAACATTCTCATTTATGCTACACTTAGTTTTTTAACGTGATGTTTCTTAATTACTCTCCTTTTATACCGTAAAACATTGTTGGTCTTATAGTTGTCTTATAAAACTTGAGGTTAATTTTACTAAAGGTCCCTAAAATATGAGATTTTTCTCATTTTGGTCTCCAATATTTCAATTGCATTATTTTGGTCCCTGAAATATTGAATGTGTTTCTATGTGGTCCCTCAATCAGACAACATACAAATTGCTAACAATTTTTTATCATAAACTTATCACGTGATACTAAATATGGGAAAAAATAATTTTTTTAACTCTTGACCAAAATTTGGGTAACTTTTGACAAAAAATGTGTAATATGGGTATCTTTTGACCAAAATTTAGATAACTTATGATTAAAATTGTGTAATTTGGGTAGAAATTGGTTAAGAGTTATCTAAATTATTTTTTTACCTATATTTAATTATTACATGACAAGTTTATAATCAAAATCCGTTAGCAATTTGAATGTTGTTTACATGAGAGACCATGTAGAAACATATTCAATATTTTAGGGACCAAAATAATACAATTAAAATATGGGGGATCAAAATAAGACAAACTGTGTACTTGGAGGACCTCCACTGCAATTAGTCCTAAAATTTGCCTTTCAATCTGAAGAATATACGTCAATCACATAATACAAAAGATGCATTTATCCATTTAGTCCATCTTGCTTTAATTATGATCATCATCGTTTTCAATCTCTCCCTTCCAATGAATAATTGAGTCCAACTATTGAAAGTGTTTGCTCTTGGATATCTCCTTATCTTCGATCTTTACTATCTCTCTAGTTGATTTCTACTATTATTAAAATGACTTTTAATATATTATTTTTATTTCTACTTATCCTAAATCCTTTGATTTTAATGTTGCTCTCTAAACTTCTAGTTTATTGCTAATTACTACTTTAGTTTCACCAACTAATATCATCAACAAATAATAAACACTATGAAACCTCATCCTGAATGTGTCTAGCCAATTTATCCATTATTAAGGCAAAGAGATATGTTGTTAAAGAAGAACTTAGGTGTAGGTCTATCATGAATGAGAATTCCCTACTTTTCCTTGCAATTGTTCTAACTAAGGTCACTACACTCTCGTACATATCCATAATTATATCAATATATCGATTTGTAATTATAGCCTTCGCGGTAGCTTCATCAATGTTGCCTACCAAATAAAAAGGTTCAGTAAGACCATCTAATTTTCGGAAAAGGATCAATTGAAATCCTCTAATTGTTTCTGCTAGACCAACATATTTCCTTAGAGAATCGGTAAATACTTCTGCTACGAAGAAAGGTTGTGATAAGGAACGCTGAATTTTTTTCACTCTTGCTACGGTTAAATGATCCTCTTTGGATAATTCGTTCAACTCAAGGATAGCTATAATATCCTGAAGTCCTTTGTAACGTTGCAAAGTTCAATTGAAAGTTTTTGATTCATCTATCATTATAGACGACACTAACAAAGATAAAATAACATGCATATAATATAAAAAGAAATTGATTCATCTATGACATCTGACATCTACCCATCCCGCGATTCCAGTCAACAGATTCGTTGAGCAACTCTTGGATAGACTATGACCTTATAAACTAATAATAAGATAAGAACTGGGTCGTGTAACTTCATTCAAAAATCAAATTCTTTTTGAATCATTATGAAATCAACTTAGAAAATCATTTCTATTTGGATCATTTTTTTTTTAATTATATCGAATCCCTTTTCTATTTCTCTTCTTCTCTAAAACTTGTCATAATGTGTCCCTAAGAACTCTAACATATTCCTTCTCTACATTTATAACACCATATGAAGATCTTTCTTTTTTTTCCTATACATTAGTCTTTTTACCAAGTATATAGCTTTTCATTGTTGACATTACAGAAAAAATCCAAATTGATTATCAGATGCGGTTGCTTAAAGTCTTAATCGCTGCTCGATCACTCTCTCCCAGAGTTTCATTGTGTAACTCAATAACCTAATGCCTCAATAATTTGTACAATTCTGAATGTCCCACTTTTTTATATATATCTTCCTTTATTCATCTGACATTTTCCTACTTGTTATAATTTTGTGTAAAATTTAGTTAACCAAGATACCTTGACACCAAGTTACAATTTCAGACCTCATTTGGTGCACTATTTTGTCATAAAACTTTTCCAATTTTTATTTTCTTTGATACATTCTTTACTAAAGACATCTTGATTGTACAAAAAAACTTGCATAGACCATAGAAAAAGGATTTCCATTTTCCAAGCAATAACTACCAAAACTTTTTCTGTAAACTACACAGGGTGAGAATATGAATTTTGGAAATGTCAAACCTCTGGTGTCATCATTTATGATACTGCCTACTTGTACCATGTCCTATAACCACGTGACTATGATCTACATTGATAGTTCATTTAAGGTAAATAAACTTTTTCTAAGAGACATATGAGCAAGTCCTGTGATAATGGAAGAAGTGTGGTCGTGTTTGATTTTCAGTACTGTTATCTAGTTTATATAACACTTCGTGTTGAGTAGTTTACTCATGGTGAGGTGTCAAAACTTCAGCTTTGGATGCTTACTGATATTGCACAGGGATACTATATCACCTTGACCATATAGTTTGTCTTTTACTTATGAAAAAGGATTTAATAAGATGCAAAGTAGGATGCTATATTTTCATGTTTCCTCCTCTCTATGAATTCTTTACAGCAATCACCAAACTCTTTAAGTTTCTTATTGTGAACTTTCTTCAAAACTATTATCCAGGGAAAATGTATAGAGATATTGTTGGGAGTGCATACTATGTGGCCCCAGAGGTCTTGCAGAGGAAATATGGGAAGGAAATAGATGTCTGGAGCGCCGGGGTCATTCTATACATTCTTTTAAGTGGATTTCCTCCATTCTGGGGTGGTAAGTGAATCTGTAATTTTTTTGAGTTAGTACAAGAGATTCATGTGTAAGAAGGTGTTAGCATGATCAGCTGATTAGTCGCAGATTGGTAGCATGTGTTTGCATTCGATCAACTCTTCTGAAACTCACAGTTGCTTCCTGTTCGTTATTAAGGTTGGAGAGATACGGCTTATTTTTTATTATATTGCTCTTGTAAATAACATTCTGGCACATATGAAGAAGGGTTGCCACAAGGAATAGGAAGTATTTCCATGCCTACGATGGAAGCCCCTTAGTGTTTGATGTAGCCTTAATTTTGGGTGTTTGGGTTTTATGATGGTTGCCAGATTGGAACCTTTTGGAAAAACTTTAATATGCTATGAAGTAATTGGATTATATTTGCTATTGGAATTAAAAGTGCAGAATTGATTGTTCTCTGCTTGTGTGTGTATGACACCAATAGGTTTTTTGCATCTGAAAGGTTAAAATGTAATGCAGAAACTGACAAAGACATATTTGACGCAATTAAAGAAGGGAACCTTGACCTACAAAGCGGTGGCTGGCCTTCTATTTCTTCTGGTGCCAAGGATCTCATCAAGAAGATGTTAACGAGGGATCCCAAAATGCGAATTACTGCTGCCCAAGCCCTTGGTAAGTAGATGGGAATTTATAAATATGTCCGCATCAATTCCTCCTGCTCCCTCTTTGATGGCTCATGGAATGCCTGTTCTTGCATTATGGTCCGAACATTCTAATATGTCACGAATTATGGAGATTTGTCTAGCATCAGATGACTCGTAGCACCCATTCTAATGGCTTACTTGAAAAGACACCCTGCCAATGATTTCTGATAAGGAATCGAGTGAAAAATAAGATGAATGTTGTACTTGTCAATTTTTATATGGTTTCTATGTAGCTATCCAGTTGAACCATCAATATAATTTGATGATGAAATATGAACCAGAACATCAATGGCTCAAGGAAGATGGTGAAGCATCCGACAAACCTATTGATAATGCAGTTCTAATAAGGATGAAGCAATTCAGAGCAATGAACAAATTGAAGAAGCTTGCTCTAAAGGTATCAACTAATCCTTGAAAATATCGTCAAATTATGCAGAACTTACATGCTTGAAGGCTAAAATTGTCGATTTTTCGATTTTCCAAGGAAGTACCAGATGATCATTAACTAATGATTCCCTTTGTATCAGGGATGTGCATGAAATCTGAAATCACTCCTTTGAATTGACAACTATGAGTTAATTCTATTGAATCCGTTATCTTGGATTATGCTAGAGTTGTGCAATCAAAACCACCTAATTGGAATAAGAGCCTTCTTATTTTTTTTGTTTCCTTTTGGGGGAGGGTCCAAGTCCAAAAGTGTGGGCCCAACACAAAAAGGTTGCCCTCCTGTACAACCCCCCCC